CACAACCGCCTTTATTGCTGTACCTGACATCATGCTAGTAGTATCTGTGTTGCAGCGAAGAAGATATGTTAGCTCAGGTGTGAATGTATTGAGCCACATTTCACCCTTCTTTATTTTCAATGCACCGCTCAGTGGATCAACCATTGTCTCCTCTACAATCTCACGTGGAAAGCGTGCCTTACATTGGCCTTGTGCATTTAGACAACCTTTCCGCTTCACTTTTGTAGGGTCTTCCCCATCTATCTCAGGTCTGCGGCACCCATGATGATTTGATCTAGACAAAAGATCATCTGTTGTTGCATGAAAATTACCCCACCATACTTTAAGATTAGTGCATCTTAAACATTTGTTGCACCCTCTATTCTTGCAGAGGGGAGGTGGAGGTATAGGCATAGTATGGGTTGGATTTTTGTATTCTGGATTGTTTTTCTGAGCATCTTGACATTGAGCTCGAATATCTTCAAAGGATCCTCCATGAAGTTCTCCTTTATGTACTGATTCAAGATATTCAACAATACATTTTTGAAAGTCAGATGAAGGATCCATAATTCGATCTCGTATGTCTTGAGGAGATAAGGCACCTTTTATCCACAAAAGCAGGTGAAGGTGCAGTGTTAACCTCCCTTGTTGTTCAACTGTTCCATAGTATGCATCTGTTTCTCCATATAGTCCAGGGTGATTACTTCCAACACCTAGTACATGTTTAATAAAATTTTCACAGATAAAATGAAAAAAGCGTGCTGCAGCTACAGGATTCTTCGCAATTAATGTAGAACATTCTGGTGAAAAAGTTAATTCAGGTCTGAATTCTGTGTTGGTATCAGCAAAATAAAGACATATAGGATGTTTGCCATCTGCTGGAGAAAGTGTAATAAACCAGGAGGGAGCACCAACATATGATATAAGGGACCAGACTTCATTACGCATGTACTTCTTTGATGTTGTTGAACCTTGCACGTGACCTCCAACAGAATCCAGATCCTTTAACAATTGAAAGCATTCTTTTTCTTGCTCAGTTTCTGGTTTTACTCGTTCACCTGAAGCAAGTCTTTTATTTATACTAGAAATAACTTGCATATCAAGGTTAAGCAAGCGTTCAGTTACTGAATTAAATGAGGACTTTTTGGTTGTAAGATAACCTCCAGTTGTACTTTGTTGTATTTGTTCATGATTGAATGCAATAAGTGGAAAATGTGGATCCATTTGAAATCGCTTATCATGATACATTAACAGTAAACGCTTGTGGGCCATAGTAGATATGTTATGGGGTATCATATCATTTCCGATACCTCCAAGGCCATAAGGAAATAGCCATGGTAGCATAGCAGGAAATAGTTGAGGGTTATTATAAATGGAGTTGGGTTGTTGTGAATGGCCCGCAAACATGATTTTTTTGTTAGATGTCAAATGCTTCAGTGCTCGAGCCTTTATCGCCTCCAACGACATGGTAGAATACTCTTCTCCAGTCAGCCCTTGAACTACAAAAGTACAAGGACCCTCTTCGGTACCTATCTCTTCTTCATTATCATGAACACTTGTAGCCTCTCGCTCCCTATTTATTATTGATTGACGATAGTCAATTACAACTGGTGCATCACTCAAAGGGTACTGGCTCAAATTCTCCTGTGATATTCCGATGTCAAAGTAGTCAGAATGGTTCAATTTTAACCACTCAAGTGCTTTTGAAATCTGCTTTCGACGGACCAGCAATGGTGTACGTTGAAGGTCTTTTTTGGTAGGTTGACAAGGTCCAGTAAACATAACAGCCAAGACTTCATCAAGTTCTTCAAGAGGAGGTGGAAGAGTGTCATAAATCTTTGCGACAGGATTTTGGAAAGTTATTGCATTTGCATGCATCTTGTACCGTCCAGAGGCTACTTTGATTATACAGCGATTGTGGCGAACACGTGATATGAGCAGCTGTTCAACGTAAGTTAAGCAGGCAAGCTCGTCAGGAATTTTACCAAGCCAAAAACCATTACAAAGTGCATTAGTGGGTATTTTTCCTTTGTCTAGACTTTTATTGCAAGTATTGCATATATATTTACAGTCATCATCAATTACAGGCCCTGAGATTCCATGGATTTCATCATGTTCAGATTTTCTTTCTATTCGGGAAACCCCTTCTCGAATCAATGGCTCCAAGTTATTTGTGGTATCAGATCGTTTTAACATGTCCGATAATTTTGTTAGCTGACCACAAACTGCGCATCCAGATTCAAGAAGTTTGGAAGGGTGTGTGTCTTCACAGAATCCACTAATTATTTTATGAATTAATTTCTTAGAGGGTGGTTTAGGTGGGAAATTAGTGATTTTTGATGTCTGATAAGTAGACTTATTCTCTTTACTTCTCTTAACTTTGTATGTTGGACCTTTTAAAAACTTAATATACTTTTTTTTAATGATTTTTTTCTTGTCTGCTTTACTGAGACCCTTGTACCACTTAGCTTGACGTTCAGAAGATGTCAAAGCTGGTTTCTCTGGAGCAAACAATGTATAAAATTGAGAACATCGTGAGGAACACATATGTGCTGATAAAACCTCCAAGACCTCTGCAACTGGAGATTTGCTTGATATTGTAACATTGTGCATCTTTGCAATGGATTTTGCTTGAACCAATGATATTTTTCCCTTTAATAATTCTAATGGCATATAACATATAAGCAGTTCAGGGTTTTTACGTAACTCAGCCTGAGCAGCTTGAAGCACAAACTGGCCAATGTATTTATAATTAACCGAGGTTGCATTCTGTAGCTCTAGACTGTATGGAGTGATGTATTCTTTTATTTCACTCAAGTTTGTGCTAATCTTTCCACCCCCATATTGAATGGAAGGCACAACTGCCATCGTTGCTTGACAAGGGCACCCATACCCATACCAATGTTTAATAGAATGAAGATAAGGTTCGTTTATGGTGGAGGCTTGGATAGCTGAAACTCTATTTGTCAACAATAGTTCATAGCCATACCAGTTGGAGATGGATGAGAAAGAGATAAATGTATAGGCCATTGTATATTGAATTATTTTTGAAATAAGAATAAAAGAGGACAGATGCACAACAAATCGATGTTGAACAAATAGTGCAGGTAGTGAAAATGAGAGATGCTCTTGAAACAAGCAAAGTTTATTTGCATATACATGACGGAAAGTACAGTGTCTTGAAAACCGAAGTGCAAGCAAAATGCAGAGCTTAATGGCATAGTTAACAGATAAGGAATATACAATTGCACTATAGTATACCAAGGCTGGTATTTGACTGCACAGGTATTCTAACGTGAAACCAAATAGTGAATGAATAATGCAAGTTACTTTTACTTTTAGTTCTCGAATTTCATCAGCAATGACAGAGTTTGTCATAGCCTGAACATATATTTCCCAATCTCTCTGCATAGTCAAGTGTATCTCAATGTCGTTGACATAGTCAACATGTGCCAGCAGGCTTGGATTGTTTCCAATCTCTATTATGGGTGCATGACGGCTCGGGTTGTTTCCAACCACTATCAATCCTTGGCAAATTGCTTTGGATTCTATGTTTATATCAACGGGATAGATTGTAAGGAGCAGAGGGATGATGGTAAGTAGCAACAGAGTCCACCGATATGGATGCATAGTCGATGGAGGACAAAGAATATTGGCAGTTGTTGTTCAAATATTTGAAAGTTGAACAATCACATGACTTGAATTTACACGGACATGTGATTCAGCAATAGCACTCAGCGCATCGCACTTAGCTCAACTTGTCTAGAGAAAAATCTGCGAGGGAGTACACAAATTTAACATTTATAACTCTTGCTCATTATCTGAGCCACTTTCAGATGCTCTAGACCCATCATCGTCTGTTTCTGTGTAGTCGCTTCTTGAGAACATTAGAGTCAAAAGTATAAATTGAATATTGAAACTCACCTTGCCAAGTCCTCCACATTAATTTCACAATGCGAAAGTATTACACTATCTGTTTGGATGGAAATCTGTGTAATAGAGGGCATCATACCGCACACATAGTTTGCAAAGGAAGTTCGACTGCTACTATGCTGCCAAACAATGACAAGCTTGGATGCAAAGTATTTAGGTTCACAAATTTTGAAAAGAAGAATAGCAATGAGCGATATTGATTGCAAGATGATGGTGAGAATATTGTACAAGGTGCACATGGCATATAACAAGAGCTAAAGACGACGGTGTATAGAACATTATTCCACTTTTGCTTTCTTGCGTGGAGGTTTGACAACATCAACAATCATGTTGGCGTTCTCAGAGTTAATCCGCAGCTTAGTGGCCTCAAAGTACTTGATATCAAAAGGCGTCTGCCCTGCAAGAGTAAAATCTAAATATTAATAAGTACCTGCAAAAGACAATAACCATACATTACTCACCAACAGATGGGGCTCTCCATGATGTGCGTTCCCAATCACGCCGCCATTCAACGTTATACTTCTCCTCCTCCTTGAGGCCGAGAGAGTGCGAAGGAACACGTTCTTTATGCACCCAAGCAGCCTTCAGAATCGGATCTACCTCAAGAACATTGGCGATCTGTTTGCTGAGCAAATGGGAGGTGCAATGGGGAACTCCGCCATAAGTCTTTGCTTCAGCAAGGCTTTTGTAGTCTGATAGACTGGCCAAAATCTGCACAAAAAAAAGAGATATCAGATCATCGGCAAGACCATCTGGTGGGCCAGTGAAAGTGGCGCATGAACGGAGCCATTTGAGGATGTGTAAAGCAACACCACGAGCATAGCAATACGCGATTCGTTCATTGTTGGGAATGGCATTGATGTCACCGGTGTCCATCAATGTTCTTTGGGTAGGAGAGGCTTCATCATCTTCCCCTTGATTTGGAGTGCTGTAAGTCCTAAAATCCAGGACGTTGCCAAGTATAATCAGGACTGCAAGACAGATGATGTTAAGCACGCCCTCCATTGTCTCGACGTTAGGTAGATGAACCAATGCAGGATCTGCAAGTGGAAATGAGTCAAAGGTATAAACAATGAGGGGCGAATCTCACCGTCTTCAGAGATGGCACCCTCAATGAGGCCAACTTGGTAGAAGATCAGGATCCTCCGCAATAGGTGACGAGAGGGAATATGCTCCGTGTTCGTCAAGAACTTGTTGAGAACAAAGGCATGTACAATGCCTTGCAGAGTCTCCTGCATAAGATAAGAGGAATAGTAATGGCCGCCCTGTGCAATCACATCATCTATGCCATATACCCAATGTGCAGAATTGGGCAGCATATGACTGCAATATCATGAGATAATGCCATGATTATCAACACAACACTCACAGTTCATCACCAGGCCGAAGAACAACAGCCTCAAAGTCATACTTGATATCCTTTGGCTTCCCAGAGAGAGAAAACCATCTTCATCCATGTAGAAGTCAATTGAAGAGAGTTTT